CACTCTAAAGTCGTCACAGACACTCTAAAGTCGTCACAGACACTCTAAAGTCGTCACAGACACTCTAAAGTCGTCACAGACACTCTAAAGTCGTCACAGACACTCTAAAGTCGTCACAGACACTCTAAAGTCGTCACAGACACTCTAAAGTCGTCACAGACACTCTAAAGTCGTCACAGACACTCTAAAGCCGTCACAGACACTCTAAAGCCGTCACAGACACTCTAAAGCCGTCACAGACACTCTAAAGCCGTCACAGACACTTTAAAGCCGTCACAGACACTTCAAAGACGTCACAGACACTTTAAAGACGTCACGGACATTTTAAGCATAATTTATAATAAAACATTATTTAATGCTTTTTTTTTGCAATTGATGTTGGTTTATGCTTAGATTTTTGCAACATGTTTTGTAAAAGTATTCAATTTGTGGGAGTAGATTTAATTATTTATTGGGTCTATCTGTGTTAATCTGCAGATTTATGATTAGAAGTGTCTGTAAATGTTCTGTAAGGACTCTTAGCCTTGCGTTGTTGGTCCTGGACGAGGTGGTTTTGGGTCTGGCCGGTCGATCTCCAGCTCCAGGTTCTGTTCTGGGGTCGGCAGTTATCTGGACTGTCCTCCACACACACACKCACACCCTCCATTGTATATGGATCCTGGAATGAGCCCACTCAGCGCAGCATAAAGCCAGGCAGCAGCGTCGATTACCCCAAACTGCCCATTCAGCTCATAGTGTGTGTGTGTGTGTGTGTGTGCTTGTTTTGGTTACAGAGTGAGGACCATGTTAGGTTTTTAATCAACAAAGTGAGGTCATTTTTGGAAAGTGAGGACATTTTCCCGGTCCTCACTTTGTTTGCAGCTCTGCTGTGCTTTACTAGTTAGGTTTAGAGGTATGGTGTGAATTAAGTTCYGTTCAGGTCAGGGTTAACCATAGACCAGTAATGGTTAATTTTAGGGAAAATGGTCAGGGTTAGGTTATAAAATAAACAAAAAATGAATGGAAGTCAATGGAAAGTCCCCCACAAGGATAGAGAGACGTGAGTGTGTGTAATGAAAGTCCCGAGCTTCAATCGAACATCAGCAGCTCCCAGAAACAAACAAGTCCTCTACAGGAGGTTCAGCTCAGGGTTTCACCTTTTAAACCAAAACAAAGGGCAGATACCATCTTCATTCTGTGTTTTTTTTTTGTTTGTTTGTTGTTGTTTTTCAATGACATCACCGATAGAAATGTGGAAAATCTTCTCCTGCATGTGGCGTAAACACAGACTCTGTTATTCTCGTTTACTCAAGTATAAGATGCATTCAGACACAAACCTGTTGATGCTGTCAGGTATTTTCTCGCTGCTTCTCTGACACGACTCTTCCTTTCTCTGCAGGATGAGGAGAACGGGAACGAGAAAGGTAAGTCGGGATGAATTTCACTTTCAGCCTCTCCTAAACACTGCATGGTTTGACAACATTACTGCTCTGAGTTATTCTGAGCCGCTGTGGAGGGAGGGCCTGGAGAGGCTGCAGACCTCCTGAACTGCAGTTTTATCRCCCCCTGCTGGACGACCTGCAGCACTGCAGCTGAACCTCTCGTCTCGTCCTGCAGGGTACCASAAAGGTCGTCTGGAGCCGATGGACACGATATTTGTGAAGAACGTGCGAGAGACGGGCCCGGCCCACCAGGCGGGCTTGTGCACAGGTAAAAGGAAACAAACATTTTGTTTTTATTTGCATTGGAAATTCAGATCATGTGATAAAGCAGAAACTCTTATAAACTTTTTATTATTAATACCAGGTTGTGTAAATATTTGTTTTTATTATTAGTGAAATAATTCAAACACAGGAGTGATTTTAATGCATTAAAAAAAACTTCCTGAGAGGCTGAACAAATGCAAATTCAGACACAATAAACACGTTTAGTCTCCAGCTTGCTTTACTACAACTGATCTGTATATTATTATTATTATTATTAATATTGATCATGCTGCTCTTTTTTATCTTCCCAGGATAATTACACATCATATTCTCTGTGTTTTGCCTGCATGAGCTTTGTTTTGTTAAAGATAAACATAAAAAAACTGCTTGTGTATTTCCTGTTTAGATCTATAGACGTGATCTCTCAGGGAAATTAGTCCGTCGTGAATTTTTTTCCACCTGTTATTTGAAAAGAACGCGTCGTTGAGGTTGTGGAGGTATGTCTCTGTCCTGCAGGGGATCGGCTGGTGAAGGTGAACGGGGAGAGCGTTCTTGGAAWGACGTACTCGCAGGTGATCGCCCTCATTCAGAACAGGTAGGACCTCGAAACCCTTAAACTCTAGATTTATTGATCCAGCTATGTTGGCGTGTTATCAGCTCAGTTGGCGGCCATCTTGAATCCATTCAGCAGTTCAGGAAATGTTTTGATAACAAACGCACTGGAAAAAAGGCCACTCCACAAATAAATGAAAGAAAATCTGTCAGTGGAAGAAGTGGCAATTAATTTGACAATATTTTAATACAATTGTGAACTTATTTTATTTTATTTTTTATCGCCTCTTGTTTAAAAATTAGTTTAACTCCTTTTTAGTTCCATAAGTGTTAAAATGCTCTGGGTCCAGGTCCACATCCTGCTTGAAACAAGATTAGAAAATTATATTTCAAGATAAATTTCCTTTATGTAAGCATTCTTTGGAGCTAATAGGGGCATAAAGTTAAAAAAATGAAACTGAAAGACAAACTTAAAACTAAGCAAATAAAAAAAGTTTTTCTAAACTGATAATTGTATCATATAATTAACCTTGGCAGTTGTGTCATAAAATTTAACATGACAGGTTGTTGTATCGTACAATTAATGTATGGCATGCCATGGGATCATTTAATATAATGATATGGCAGGCTGTTTCAAATAATTAATACATGGCAGGCAGTTCATTCAAAAGTTGGCAGGCCGTTGGATCAAATAATTAAAAATGTACGGAAGACTGTTTCAGTATAAAATAAAATATGCAGTATATATATAAATATTTTGGCAGGTGGTTGTGCCATATAATTTAATATGTTATTTTGTTGTATCGTACAAATCARGTATGACAGGCCGTTTTATTGTAATAAAAAATAGCACGTATCATACAATTAAAGTATGCCTGTTGCTGGATCATTTAATAATAATATATGGCAGACTGTTTCAAAATAATGTATGGCAGGCACTTGTATCATTCAGTTTAAGAAATGGCCGGATGTTTTATCAAACAATTAACAATGTATGGAAGGCTATTTCAGTATATAATAAAAATATACAGCATATATATGTATATTTTTATGTTTCAAAATTACTTTATGTTTCAAATCATTTGAGTTTCAAAAGAAAAATGTTTTTGAACAAACTTTCTGGACCCACTTTAGCTTCAGAGAATTCCTGACTAGCATTAAGTGCTTTTGCATCGTAATTTTCCTCACCTAAACACACGTGGTCCTGTATTCAAAATATTCCAACATTTTATAGAAGTCAAAAAGTAACTCATGATATTTGGAATAATGTGGAGTTTGTCCATAATGTCTTCCTTCCAAATCACCTGAACCTTTGGTTTGATAAAAGTATGAAAAATCGCCTCACGTATGGAAGGTTTTGTAAATGTAATAAAGCAGAAACTTCAGACTCTTAGGAAATGTCAAAATATCTTGTTTCATTCAAAAAATGACAAAACAAGATGTTATACCTCACTTAAATGTGTCTCTGTAGATGGCTTYGACTAGAATAAAAAAAGATTATACGTTTTGCACTTTGGACACAAAGTTGCTGCTGTTTATTGTCAGAATCTGATTTTCAGCTTGTTTTTGTGTGTTTTCTCTGCTTCAGTCTGGTCTTTCTGTTTGTGTTTGTGCAGTGAAAGCGTGCTGGAGCTTTCCATTATGCCAAAAGACGAAGACGTGCTTCAGTTAGTAAGTGTCCTCGACTCTTTTCACACCCAAAAACGACACGAGACTCGCCGCTTTTTCTTTTTTCTTTTTTAGAACGAAGAGTCGATCTGGTATTCACCAGATCATTGTCCAAGAATGTGTAGTGTGACTCACGGGGCTCCACTCTGTGTTTACATTACAACATCTATTAAAATCCACTTCGAAGTTCCCTGTCAGGGTTTGAAGGGAACAAAAACAGTTACACACACCCACAGCACATTTTTGTCGCTCCACAGGTTGCTCCGTGTTCGTTTGCATGATCCAACACGCATCGCCCGCCGCTCCTCCCACCGACCAGGAGCGGGTCACAAAAGCAGACTTGATCATTCCTCGTCTGTTGTTCAGAAACATCAGCGTTGCCACTTCCCCAAAAATAAAAACCTGAATCAGGTCGTGGGTTTGAGTTTTCTGCATTTTTATCCTAACGTCTTTAAGCTCGCTGCTGTCGCTGCTGATTCCCCCGCATTCCTGGCATGACATCAGCGGTGCTGCGTCTGCTCCCGCCCTCCCACAGGGTGGAGTAAGTCAGAGAAGGAGAGGGTGGGGAGACGGTTTGGAAGGAGCGCAGAGCGGAAAACAAGTTAATCAACAGACAGAAACAAGTCAAAGAAAAGAGGCAGAAAAGGACTTTTTGCTTGTGAAGTTTTTTTTAAAGCCGCCGGAGRGTCGCGTCACGTCGGGAATCTGCTCGCGGCGTCGAGGAACTGAACTCAGACGCTTCTGCTTCGGTTGGAGGGTCGAATCCAGCAGGTAAACATTTAAAAACACCAGCTTCCAGAGAGAAGAAGAAAGTGTTTTTATTTCCTGTTGGAAGTTAAAGTTTTGAGTGAAAACAAAACTCACTGAGGTGCTGTTTGTGTTGAAAACGTCTGCATGGTGGCGTTGCCGTGTTTTTGTGTTTTCCTACATACCCATAGGACAAACTGAGGAAACCCGATGTTTTAAGCGATCTTAAATTATCTCCTCGTRGAACTCGTTTAGATTAAGAGCAGAATTTAAAAAAAACCAGCAGGTGACTCAGATCTGAACTCCTCCTTCCTGTCCTCTTCTCCAGGCGTACTCCCAGGATGCTTACCTGACGGGGAACGAGCCCTACATCGGGGGAGCTGAGAACCTCCCGCCGCCGCCTCCCCTCTGTTACCCACGCGCCAAAACTGGAGCCCCACTGTCCACCCACATGGTCCAGAACCAGCTGGACAACTGGAGTTGCTGGCCAGGGTCTTCTGGCCCTTCGTCACCCTTGGACAACCGATCGGCTGTGGGCAGCCCAGCCAGCTGGCAGGAGGGGCAAGCAGGTGAGCCAGGAGGCGTGGGTCACAGCAGTCCAGCCCACCGCACAGAGGAGATCCAGTACGGCATGACCAGCCAGCAGCCTCAGGGTCAGACTAGGGGGCGGTCCTACTCTTCTTCTTCCTCGTCCGGCGGTCCTCTGTCCAGCCCGCTGCAGGTCCACTACCCCAACCACCACAGCGCCGGCTCTTCTCAGGCCCCACAACGCAAACCCAGCTRGGTCTGGACCAGCCCACCCATGCCCCAGGTCCGCCACGGCCGCCCCGATCGGACTCAGCAGGCGCTGTCTGACTGGTACTACAACCAGCAGCCCGAGCGCCCGGGACGCCACCCACCGCTCCGCCACCGCAGCTACTCCCAGGACCGGCTGAGCGAGCAGCGGCGGCAGCAGCAGCTGCAGCGGCCGGGCGGCTGGCCCCACAGCGCCTCGCAGGACACCCTCTTCTTACTGCAGCAGCCGGGACCGCGTGGAGAGCCCTGCTGGGCTGCCGGAGAATGGGAGGCCGGTCCCGGCAGGGGCCACCCTGCGCCTAATTACACCCGGACGCGCTCAGAGAACCTGCTGGCCCAGTACAGCCACCACGGCCGCTCCTTGGAGAAGCTGGACCAGGTGTCAGCAGGACTGGCGTTGCCTCGGTCCGAGAGGCAGCCCTGGCCCCAGCAGGCCTCCCAGCCCCCCCATAGGACCGACGCGTACCCGAGGCCGAGGTGCTACACTGCCGCGGCACAGGCCCCTCCGGTGCCTCGACAGTCCCAGCCCAAACTGCAAACCCACCAGGCCGCCCTCCAGAACCGGCGGCTCTCTCCGGGGCAGAGCGTGGACGAGCAGACGGGCTACCGCAGCTACAGCCCCTCGTTCTACCGCAAGACGGGCCGCATCCTGCAGCAGGCCCACTCCTTCAGGGACCCCTCGTACTCTGGCCCGCACTTGAACTGGAACCTGGCCCCTAAATCCAGCCCCCCGGAGGGAGCGGCACCCCCGGCGTCCTCCGCCCCGTCGGAATCCCAGGACCGAGCGTACAGGCCGACGAACCACGAGAGGGAACTGGGGTCTGGGGACGGTTCGGCCCAGGTGGCGGCGCAGACCCAGGAGGTGGTCATGAGGCAGAAGCCCCCTGTCGGGCGGCGGAACACGAAGAGGCAGCCGCACTACGCCCTGCCCATGGATGACCTGGAGCCCTCTTTGTTTACGTCTGACCCCAAAGACTCCAGCGGCAGTTCTGGGTCCAACGCAGACGTGGCCCCGCGGAAACCGAACGGCAACCTGGCGCCGCTCTCCCTGGAGGGTGACTCTCTGGCCTCCATCCCCTTCATAGGTGAGCCTCTCCAATCCTTTCTGATGTTTGGTGTTCATGTTTCCTGGGATTCAGCAGTGTGGTTGAGTCAGGCTGGAGTTTACTGATCCCTGAAAATTCCCCCGTCCAAAGCTGCTGACTCAGCTGCTCCAACAGAAATGATTTCCCAGCTTTAAAGGAGACCTAATATGGGGGTCCTAGAACGAGTTAGGATCCATCTGTGGGCTCTACAAAACATGTTTGTTTGATTTAAGTCACAAAATTAATATCAGATAATGAAATTTCACCTTTTCAGTTCTGCCTGTCCTTCAGCTCTCTTCAGAACTCCAACCTTTTGTTTACGTTAGCTCCGCCCCCCGCCAGAAGTTTAATTTCTGTTTCTTTTCAGTAGAAAGTACAGTTTTTCCAAAGTAGTTCATGGTGAAATTATTTACACAAAATTTCTTTAATATTTTTAGAACATCGCCATCAAAAATAAAATTAAATAAAAATAAAACGAAGCCACACGTTTCTGTTTTCCATGACAGCAGAACCGTCCCGTGAAGAAGTGGGCGGATTCTCTGCTTGGGTGAGACGAGCTGGGCTCAGGTTGGGGTGGGCTGGAGAGCGACTTGTGACATCACTAACACTGCTGCTTGAAAACAGGTCATTTCAAGACTCAGAAAAATACATTTATTTATAGTAAAAATACCTCTGAGTGCATTTTTTTGGTGCTTGGACTGTTTTTAGCAGCAGTTCAGACCCAAACGTAAGTAAAAAAGAAAAAATTGAATTTTGCATATTAGGTCCCCTTTAAAAGAAAAAAGCTTTTATTTGTTGCTGTTTCCTTCCTGTATCAGTGTTTGTGTAAATAGCGCGGGGCAGCTGTGGCCTGCGAGCTGATCGTGTCCCAGCTTGTGTTTCAGTAGCCCTGCGGGCTCCGGGTTCGACCTCTTGACACGAGCAGCCATTAGAGTCAAACCAGAAGCAAATGAGCCGAGCCTCCGTCTCCTCGTGACCGCCCGGCGCCTATTTGGCCGAGCAGATTCAAATCATCTGACCGGGAGGCGCGTCGGATGTTTCAGTCCACAGAAAGTTTTTTTTTTCTTTTGAGAGGAAATCCTGAAGCTCCCGCTCTCAGTCAACCTTTCAGATCACATTCTTCTCCTCGCCTGAATCAAACGAAACCGAGCTGCAGGCCGGGACACGTTTAACAGCCACAAACTGAAACTAGGCTAGTTTCTGCCCGGCTGATGTTCGTCTTGTTGTGAATGTTTGTGAGGCTGCACCTCGGGGCCAACGTGTTTTTTTCACCTCGTCTTCYCTTCCAGAAATGAGTTCAGTCCAGTGTTTTCTCTTTTAATCCGGGCTGTAAATTAGCAGGAGGTTCTGGTGCTTTTCTGTTCAATGCTGCGTTTGTGTGACGAGTCTTTAAGACGAAGCGCAGAAGCTGCAGAGCAGAACCAAGACTTTCTGCGATGTGTTATTTATGAGGGACTTCCTGTCCTCTCTGTGCTGTCCTCCAGGCTTCAGGCTGTTATGTATCACCTAGTTATATACATAAACATACACAGAAACAAGAAGAATAAGTTGAGTTTATTAAAAAAATAGTAAAAATGAAGCTGGGGAAACCTCGGAGAGCAGTCTGTGCTGCCCTCTGTTGTTTCCTCATCAGGAAGTCTGAACGGTTTCAAACGGTTTGACACAAACCTGTGATCCTGCAGGAAGTGTGAATCTGTGTGTGTCTGTCACGGTTTCAYATCCCTCTAAACGAGCTGAAACGTTTAAACTCTCGACGCCTTCGTTACCTATAAAATATGATTTTTAATCTTTTTTTAATGCACAAATGCCTCATTTTGAGCATAAAAAGTATCCAAAATGTCACATTTCTTTCCCCTCAGTGAGGTTTGGATWGAAACGGTTTGTTGTGCTTGAATAAAATCAGACATTATTATAGAGAAAGAACTGAAACCTGCAGCCTCCCGCCTCCGTTAGCTTCTGTAAAGCTTTTCCTATGGCAGCAGACGACACAGGTACGGTTCGAGGCTCGTTTTATTTGTTGCAGGTGTTTTTTGATGGTTTCCTGGATCTTGTTTGATGTTTGATGCTGTCTCCTCACGGTTCTTCTATAAACCTCTCCTCTCCTCGCCTTTCCCCGATCTAACGCCTCTTAACCTTTTATATCCTTCCTCTTTTTCCCGCCTTCTCTCACGCCTCCATCTTTGCTCTCCCCCCCTCGCCCCCTCCCACAGACGAGCCGACCAGCCCCGGCGCCGACTTGCGCGCCCGCCACGTGCCGGCGTCCTCCGTTGTGTCCAGCGGCATGAGTTCGGCGCCCGCCGCGGGCTCCGGCCCCGCCTCCCCCACCTTCACCTTCCCCCTCACTAGGCTCTTCTCACACGACTGCAGTGAGTGCCCCCCCCCCCCTCCTCSGCCCCTCCACGCCAAACGCATGCAGCACAGAATTAGACGTGTAGTCGACTTTGTTTTGATTTGTAAAAAAAACGTGCATGAGATTTCAGACGCCTCTGCATCTTTTCAAGCATTTTTGTCTAATATTTAATCTTTAAACTCTTTATTCTAATTATTGTCAGATAAGCAGCACTTGATTCATCAAATTGGGTTGTTTTTAAAGGGATCCATGATTAGTTGTAACTTTAGACTTTATTTGATAAATACACATTTTAACTGTAAAATAAAAACTGTAAAAATACTGTAAGCTGTTTAGTTATGTAATTTAAAAAACATTTTAACACAGACGGAGCCGTTTTATTTACACACAAGGCATTCTGGGTAAATAATGACGTGGATAGGTCCTCAGTGTGAGCGAGCTATATCCACCCTGAAGGTTAATCTTGGACAATATCTGATGATCGAC